GGCGTGGAGGACAGGGAGGCAGCTATTGCTTGGAGGGAGAGTCCCCCTCCCTACGACCACAGGGGCAGAAAAATGGCCGGGGACCATGTGTCAGGGGCGGAAAAATGGCCACGGATCACGTGTCAGGGGCGGGAAAATGGCCGCGGACCACGTGTTGGGCAGAAAATGGCCGCAGACCACGTGTCAGGGGCGGAAAAATGGCTGCGGACCACGTGTTAGGGGTGGAAAATGGCCGCAGACGTGTCAGGGGCGGAAAAATGGCCGCGGACTGTGTCACGGGAGGGGAAATGGCCACGTATCCTGTTCGTACCCCGAGGCAGAGTTTGCAAACCGAGGCAAATTTTTGCGGCTGGAGCTGGTCGTAACCCGAAAAGTTCGTTAACAGAGGCGTTCGTAACCCAAGGTACCACTGTACTATGTTAGAGCATGGTTTATAAGGGTGCAGGTTTCTCACCAAATACATTTTGAAAACTGGTCTTAAATTTGTATGCTCTCTCCTCCTTCCTCCTCTTATGATTTCAGATGCCCTTTTTGCCTTCATGGTTGGAACAAACTCAGTTTGGTTGGACTAGGAATAAGCTACTAAGACAGGAGCCAATGTTTTCCACGCTTAAGAGAACTGTTATGTCAACGTATCTCAGCTTGAAGAGACTGGCAAAGTACCTATTGACTCAGAAGAGTGGGAGGAAAAAGTTTAAAATTTAATCTCTGGGACAGATATAGGGGTAGAAGTAGAGACAGGGGCTTTGATTGCTAGGAACTACAATGTGTGAATCGCCTGTTTCAGTCTGCAGTAGAGTAACTAATTCGCCAAGGAGTCTCTGAGCTTTTGGCAGAATAAGCCAAGTCCTTCATCAGGAGTTCAAAATTTGGAGAGCTGTGCCAGATGTGTAGCCTGAAAAATACCATATGATTTGTTATAAGAGTAAGAGGTGAAACTGAAAGCCATGGCGGGGGGTGGGGGGAATGAACATGAGTTCATTTTCAGACCTATCCATTCACAATTCAGAAGGCCATTGTACATTTAGGGTCTAGTCTGCCACAGCCTTTGAAAAAGTTATTCAGGCCTTGCTTTGGATTTTTAGATACCAGATGTTAAGAGATGCAAATCGGGTCCACATTAATAGAGTGAAATCATAGAATTACTCCATAAACATCTCCCCCTTTTGTTACTTGTATACTTTAGTAAATCAATCAACCAATCGATCAATTTTATTTCGGTCACAGACCAGCATAGAACTAATAACGTAACAATTACTCTAAAATAGAAATAAAAATAAAAAATCATCTTGACAGAATAAAAGAAGGTAAAGTTAAAATTATCAACGTAAAACTACAGAGTACAGCAGGCTGCTTTGAAGTCGGGTTCTGTATGTTTATGTTCCTTGCAGGTAATTATTCTTAGCTCTCTTGCTCAATAATCTGGAAACTGTATCCGTAAGCGGTTTGGATGCAACCAGAGGGCTGAGTACCTCCGCTGATCACCGTTAGATCATGGAGCCACATGTCTAACTGCTTTCAGAAAACAAAAGCAGCTGCGTTTTAGCTGTCCTCATTCCGTTGACCCAAAAGCTTCAATAGCAAACAAGTATTGAGGATTTCAAGATGGAATATTGGGGGGGGGGGGACAGGCAAATTTGCAATACTTTTGCTATGTTTAGAAACGAAATAATCACAGAGTAAATTAGTTTCCATGGTAACTGATTTGTTTTCCTAATTTGGCAAGACGCTGAATAGATGGAAGTGTAATGGGAATTATAAGAATTTTAATTATGTTGTTCAATAAGTGTTAACATATAGCATTCCTTGGTTTGTAAAAATATACTAATCGCTTGCGTTTGGAGAGCTGATGCTATAAATATGCTAAACAAGATATTGTGTTATTGATTTCCCAATATAAGCACAGCTATAAATATTTAATGAACATCAAGAAGAAGTCCTGCCAGGCATGTCAACTTCTATTTTCTTGACATTTTCATGGGATGTGTTAACTCCTCACTCCCAATACCATGTTGTTCAATCTTCTGATTAGGAAGACTCTCAGTTTTGGAATTAGGTAAAGCACAGAAAGCCAGCCTTACGAATTAGAGGAGGAAAAAAAATTAAAAATCATAAAATGATTAGCAAGTTTTTAAAAACCTTTTCATGTGTTCGTTAATGTAGAAAAAAAAGACTGCAATACACAATTTTATTCAGGAAATACACTCTGCTAGGATTGGAGCTCATAGGTCATTCATAGAAAAAAACATGAAATCCAGAAAGAATTCATGGTCCTCTGGATTGAAAGCCTTTCAAATTACTTGTGATTTGTTGTACTTTTTGAATATGTCTGTAGGCAATAAAATTAACATAAAATAGTTGATACTGGCTGCTGACAAATAGGCTTTCCAAAAACAAGTGAAACAAAAATTAGAGGAACATTCCTAAGATGCTTTGATGTTCTAAAATTGAATTCTAGTTTAATATAATGCATCTTTTAGAAAAATAAATTATAATTTTAACTATTTATTATATACTGCCTCAAATGATCCATTTTTTCTTCAGTTTTCTGACAGTGATTTCTTTCCTAATTTTTCAAATATCTTAAAGTATTTCTCATTCAGATCTGATTTTTTTCCCCTCTAATTTTGAGGGGGCTACTTGGCCAAATCATAGTTTCAGCCTCATTCTTTTGATATCCATTAGATGGTGCTGGTATGTCATACAACTCAAGACTTAGCTTTTAAGTTCCCCCTTATAAATTAAAAAAAAGGACAGCTAGAACTTTTAAATAACTTACAACTGATGACTTAATGTTCTCTAACATCTGATCCCTGTTTTCCAGATTTTCTTAAATTGCTTACTACTAGCTATCTGTCGGTGCACATAGACACAAACGTTCCCACTTTTTCTCTAAAGAAATAATTTACTCCAAACGCCTTACAAATGAAAAACAAACATTAAAAAATACTGATGAAATACTTTGTTTTGAACTATAGGGCTCATGAAAGTAAAAGTAAAAACACAGAGCTAAAGTTAAGAATCCTGCACTGAAAGAATCCTGAAGAGAGAGATAACAGCCTATAATTTGATTTAATTCATTTATTCGCTTTTGGTGTCGCCTGACTCTGGAATGGCCCTGGGTGGCTCACAATATAGCAAAATAGAATAAACATTAAATAGCACATACACAAGCAAGATGGAAAGCATCGACAAAGCACACCCCAGAAGGAGCTCCAGCCACCCTGATCCAAGCCCTGGGAGAACAGCCAAATCTTTGAGGCCTTCTGGAACACCCTAATGTCCTTTTCGTGTTGCTTTCATTTTTTACAGGACAACTTAGTCATTTGACTATTTGTAGAGGTGGGATGGGTGGGTGGGTAGGAGCATTAGGACTGATGGTTGAGACCCAAAATCTTATTGGGACTGGAGACAGATGGATCTTACCCTCATGACTTATGAGATAAGATGCACCCCATTTCAATCTGCCTTTCTTAACATCTGTCCTTAACACCCATGACCTTGCCATTCCTATCTGCACATCAAGGATTATAAACAAATCCAAGCAACCTCC